TCCAGCGACGTCAGAACAATATTCATAACGTCTCCGTCGTACCATTCTCGTAGATCGGACATACCGAATAGCTGACAATTCCTCGTGCGAATGCTCTTAACAGCGCTCTTATTATTCGCAACGAACTCCCCGTGAAACACGGTGTTGACCTTTAAACACGCGTGCATATCGAGATCGACTCGCACTCGCTCGAGCACCGTGGCCCTCGCGTCCTCGAGAAACCGTCGGGGTTCGATGTACTCGATGTTTACCACAGCACCTGTTCGTACGCGATTCGTGAAAACCGTCTCGATATCCACCCATTCGAATCCCTTCGAACCGTCGTATCCTGCACCTAAGTAACCAAAACGTCAAGCGACTCAAAGCTCAAAGCGAATCTCGCAACCTCCAACTGCGCTACTCGAGAAACTAAAGAATTTATCGTCCCAGTAACCGATCGACTCTATTCTCACATCTATCTCTCAAGATCTCGAAACACTCGATACACTCCCGTTCTCAAATGCAATAGGCGCACACCCCTTCAACCCCCGCCGCGCGTTCGAAAAGATCGCGACTCTTCTCCATATCACAATTTCCCACACAGTGTTACTCCAACCGTCCGTAGGAACGACGAATTTAACGTCTCGAACTTTTCTCTCTCTCGCTGTTCTCTCGTAGATCACCGCTCTGTCGCTCAGAGCGAGCAACGTTTCGATCCACAGTTTCTCTCGCAAACTCTCTGTATCGATCTCCCGTTGCAAGTGATACGTGGCCACATTCCAGCAAACGTTTTCTCTCGCAATACACTCCTCGTTGCCAGGCGCGATAGTCTCGTAACACTCTAAACTATTGTCAGTCTCGATAATCAACTCGCAACGATCGTCGTCGAGATGCGTCACGTTACGATCGAACGCGCGTAAAAGCGGATCGTCGCTCTCGTTCGAAGACGAATCACCGTTAAGCGCGACTTCTTCCATATATTACGTTCCTAACAATGGAAACAACTGTCTCTCACGAGTAGATATATACTCCGAGGGTCGAAAACGCGTCAAATCGCGACAACCGCGACATTCCGAAATGACAAAACGCGCGGCATCCTACATAATCAGAACGCGCGCCTTCCCGTCGCCGCGGAAAACAGGATGCGCTAGATCCCACGGAAAACGCCTAGACACAGAACGCGTCTAACGGCAACATCTTACAAATAGCTCTTTTTTCTTTTACGTTCCTGATAAAATAATACAACAATAAAGTAATAAAATATTCTCTCTCGTCATTATTAACACTCCTACGATTCCCTCCTCGCGCGACCTCCATTTCTCATACATTTCCGATACCGTTGACCATGATATCGCAAATTGAATCTCTCGTTATTATTAACACTCGTACGACGATTTCCTTCTCGCGCGACTCCCACCTCTCGTCTCTCATACGTTCCCGATAATATAACGTCACCATCGGTATCGCTAATTGAAGACTTCCGGCGCGTCGCCGATCCGCCTCTCGCCCCCCCGCGATACGCAAACGAACGAGGAAAAAATTTCGTCTCTCTCGCAGTTAGTCTTATTTTCATACATATTCATATATACAATCCATAGTTATATTACGATTATAGTACATAATTATATGCACGCACACTTAATTGCGCTAATTGTTGCCAACACGCTCTCTTCTTTTTCTCTCCTTCTCGTACGTGGCTGACGAAACGGTACCGCTTTTCCTCCAATACTTGCGATGAGCGCAAAAAAACATTTCGTCGTCATCGTTGTCGTTAAATACATCGTAATAGCCGCTTTCATGAAACTTCACCATACTTCTTCATATACTCCTGTCGTCTGCTAATCTCGATCGGTTTCTTCTTTTCGTAGAGTATCTCCGTTAACAGATTGTATGCCATCCCTCGATAGTGATGACATACACACGCCTCTATTACCTTTTTAGGTGAAATCTCACGTTGAGGCGGAAATCGACAACCATGCCTCTTTAACTGATTAGAAATCGAAGTGTATTGTCTTCTCACGACGTACTTCGTCACATTGACCGATGGATACACCGTCACGTTTCGCAATGGAGAAGCTGTTAGGTCATCCAGCGAATGGCACCAACACATCATCGTCATCGATCATTCGTATCGCATAGCTGGCACCGATTCGCTACTTTAACGGTTCTCGCCATCGTAAACACGGCGACAAGTATCGCTCGAAAGAATCACCTCGACACGTCAAACCGCAACGTTCTACAAAACAGGACGAGCGGCACGCGTTATATCCTCATAGACGACGCCTAGACATGGAACACGCCTAAGGCGACATAACAAACCGCAGCATCCTGCAAACAACGTTTAGACACAGATACGTCTAAGGCGACGTAACAAACCGCAGCATCCTGCAAAACAGGACGCGCTAGACTCCGCGGAAAACGCCCAGTGGGAAGCGCCATACCCCGCAGAAGATGCTAAGGCGACGTAACAAACCACGACATCCCCGCGAAACAGGACGCGCTAAATCCCCCGCGGAAAACGCTAGGGCGGCGTCGAAGACGCGCCCGAGGTTACGCGGAAGGCGCTAGACCCGCCCGGAGGGTTACGCGGAAGGCGCTAGACCGCGCGGAAAACACTAGGGCGGTGTCGAAGACGCGCCCGGGGTTACCTAGACCGCGCGGAAAAAAACGCGAGGGCGGCGTCAAAGACGCGCCCGAGGGTTACGCGGAAGGCGCTAGACTGCGCGGAAAAACGCTACGCGCTCGGAGTTACCTAGACCGCGCAGAAAAAAAACACTAGGGCGGCGTCGAAGACACGCTCAGGTGTTACGCGGAAGGCACTAGATCATGCGGAAAAACGCTAGGGCGGCGTCGAAGACGGGGAAACCGATCCGGGGAAACCCCGCGACCGCCTTACCGATCGAGGAGAATAAACCTATCTCGACGACCGCCAGAGGGATCCACCTTCTCTCCCCCGGATACGAACCTCCTGAGAAAAAAAAATCATCCTTACCGATTCAAGAGGATATTCCTCCGGATACGAACCCCCTGGAGATTCTACTACCTCCTCCTCCCCTTACCCCCCCTTGACGCCCCGAGGGGGTTAGGGCCCCCCTTGTTTTCCTACTATCTATTGTACTTTGTTTCAAATCTTGTTTAATCTTTTTGTTGAATAAAACACATAGAAATAAAAAGAAAAGATAAATTTTATTTTTAAGATAATTTTTTTATATGTGATGAAATATGTTATGTGTACGATAAGTACTTTTTAAATAAATTTATCAGAAAAGAAATTGAAATTTATTTGAAAATCGTAATAATAGCATTTTTTTACACAAGATAATTTTTCTTGTTTAATTTATATTAAATGAGGAACGAAACGAATATAAACAAAGCAAATTAATATTTTCAATTCAATGTAATATATCGTTAATGTAAACAAAATAAGTTTTTTATAATATAGCTGATAATTATTTTTATAATTGCAGCGATTATCATATACTTATAGAGGTCTTATTGCTCCTGTGTTAACTCCTTTCAATAATAATGGGTAATTATTTTTTAATTTTAAAAAACTTTAAAAACAATTAATATTATATTGAAAGATATAATGATTTAATGATTGAAAGATATAATGATTGATATTCATTTAGATCGCTTAACTTAGATATTATACCACAATATGCAACATATTTAGCTAAAAAGGAAATTAAAGGCATCCTTGGTAAGTTATCATTAAATTCAATGATAATTATTTAAATGACATTAAATGCAATAAATTCCGGTCAAAATTTATTTTGCATAAAAATTATCTCAAAAGAAGGTATATAATAAACGATAATTGTTTTAAAATTAAAATATTTTGTATGCTTATATTTCTTTTTGCAGTTAATGGTACAAGTGGTGAAGGAATGTCAATGTCTGTTGCTGAAAGAAAACTTGTTACCGAAGCTTGGGTAAAGGCAGTTGGTTTCAAAAAAACAAAGCTACACTTGATGATTCAAGTAGGAGGCGCTCCTCTTCCCGATGTTATCGAACTTGTGAGTATAATTATTAACATGCGGAGAATATTCATTATAATTCTGTACTTAATTAACAAAATAGAAATAATAATTCTATAGGCAAAACACGCATCTAGTCTGTGCGTAAATTCTATACTATGCTTACCGGAGTTGTATTTTAAACCTACTACTCCTGAACAACTGATTGAATACTTGCAAATAATTGGTAATGCAGCACCAAAAACACCATTACTATATTATCATATCCCTATGTTGACTAATGTTAACAGTAAGTGACCGTTTGATATTTTAACACGCATATAATCTGAAATAATTATTACACACACACACACACACACATACACGCGCGCGCGCGCGTCTTTATATTTTACATATCATGTGCAAATATTTTACAGTACATATGGGTCAGTTTCTTGAATCGATTGGTGATAGAATACCTTCATTTGTGGGTATAAAATTCACTAGTACCAACTTAGAAGAAGGAGCACAAGCACTATGTGCCGATAATAAAAAATATGCTATATTTCTTGGAAATGACCAGGTAATGATTAAAAGAACATTAATTGTTAAGATTTAGGGCTAATGCTTTTGTTACGTCCGGGGGACTTCACTTCTTCTCTTTCGGAAAAAGATAACGGCTGCTAATCAGAAAACGAAGCGCCTTAAACGATCTAGAAAAACCCTAAATAAATACACAAAAATTCCTCTCGAGATACGTCTCACTATTAAAAAATAATTCTTGCGATAGACAGCTTTGTCGGCATCGAAAAATTTATAACATACCAATAAAAATCAAAAATATTAACAAAATCAAATTCTTAACGGATAAGAAACGCGTCGGATCGTTCGAGGGTAACACTCCAAATTGGTGGGGAAACTAAGGAAATGCCAATCAAGAAGAAGCGATTAGCGACTGTTGGTAGGCACACCAATGATTGAAGGTGTGGAATGGCGGGTGAAATTTTCACTAACTAATTCCATCATTCGCTAGGAAATCCGGAAATATAAAAACAACCACAATTCACAGAACACTGCTCCCCTCCTTCCTCTATACTCGCAATTTTTCTAAACTATAATTCGACAAGCCAACGCGGAAATCCATCACGCCCTCAGATATTTCCACTCTTCCGGAACCCTTTAATAAACCGCGACTTGGAGCGGATCTCTCTCTTCTCTCTTCTCTTCGCTCCACGCCTTGATGGACCATTTGAGGTTGTCACCAAATTTTTTCTCAGTTAGAATCTATGCGCGATACTTTAATTTTCGTGTGATTCGATCCACGATCCAGCCCAAGCATCACACCTCTCGTCCATCACCAGCGCCCGCCACAACAAAAGTAAGTCCATCTTTATCACTCTTTCCCGCGGTAGATTGGCTGTTTGCTTCGCGATCTTGATTTAATTGTTTTCTTAAAATACTTCAACACTCCAAATTGGCAAGCCACCGATTGACTCGATGAAGCTGCCTCCCCCGATTCCTCAACATTCCAATTTGACAAGCTATCGATTGATTCGGTGAAGCTGCCTTACCACGATTCTCAATTCTTTACCACTCTCTCTCTCACCTAACTCTTATATTTACATAGTGAATCAAACGAAAGCTAGCTATCCGAACAAGCAAACGAAGCGGGCATTGCGACACCATCGGGAGAAGCTAAACAAACAGATTCGTTGCGAAACTGAACACGCTGAGGAAACGCTCGCGGAGTTAATTGAAATAGAACCGAAACTCTCTAACATTTCTTTGCAAGAATACGCCACCGCCCTCCGCTCCGCGGCAGATTTCGAGAAACAATGCACTTCAGAGAACTTTGACGTGGAGAAGACTTGTCCGCCAATTTCTCCGCTCTCCCACCCATCCATCACCGGGAGCTTTTTACATTAAAAGAAAGTTTAAACCCGACAACCAGTTTTGGGATCAACTCTCAAAGCACCAAATTGACGATATTATTCCAATGTACATTTCCCGTGACCCTCTTCCCTATCTTGTTCCTGTGAAAGCTTTCCGTAGCGCTCACCCTAATCCTCCGTCACACCTGCATCCCGATCTCGTTGACATGCTCGCAATAAGCAATTTTTTGCCCCAATTAGAACAATTGGGAATATAGATATCAGATTTTTTTTATTTATATAAGTTGTTGTAACGAAAGGTTGTACCGAATTTTTCTATTACGTGAAGTTCTATGTACGAAAATTTTGTAAACAAAATTTTCCATGTACATTCTAACATTTGCGCTACTTCGTAGAATCGTAGAATTAAGATATTGTATTTTTCTTTTTTATTAAATAGTAGTTAACTCGAATTTCGTCTCTATTTATTTACTAAAAGAAAACTTGACTTCGAACCGTTCACGGCTCGTTGAAGATCGCACGAGGTCCATCCTTGGTTAAAGAGATTCGGTTCTCTGACTCCAAGACCTAAAACGGACCATCGATCGCGCTGGCGCAGGTAAGGGTTATAACGTCATCGATGCTGACCCGATTCCTGTCCTCTTAGGACGCGTTCGATTCGCGGATCAATCCCACGACGTCGATCTGTGAGAGCAACCACAGTTCCGTTGCGTCCTCCCGTGAGTTCTCCTCTTTCTGACCGAAGTTATTATCTCTTCTCTAGAATCTCGGACGTAACACTTTCCAAATAAATATGAATCATAAATAGCTAACTAAACAATTATCAATTAGTTACTAATTACGAATCTGACTTATTTTTTACTCTGATGTACGTTTTTTAATTGTAATGTAATAAAAGTATTTAATTTTGACTGATCTTCTAGTTAATAAATGCAGCGTCGGCATTGGGAATGGATTCTTTCATATCAACCAGTCTAAATATGTTTCCGGAACTTATATTGGATCTTCTTTCTGCTTGTAAAAATGGAGATACGTTAAGAGCTAAGGATATGCAACAAAAACTTTCAAATATCGTAGTTGCTATTACGAAACATGGTAAATATTGTTTTTGAATCGAATAAGGCGTGTTGTTAAATCAATTCGATTTGTAGGTATTTATAGAATGCAGGCCATGAAGAAAGCAATGGCTTTTCTTACTGACATCGATACAGGATTACCTCGTGTACCTCTTAAATCTATTTCTTCTGAAGCTGTAGAAATTATGACAGGAGATTTAACAAACTTGGGATATCAACCAAAAATTAAACATTATTAAAGATGTTTCTCTTCTCTTAGCTTATTATCTTAGATTAAGATATTAAGTTTAATAAATTATTTAACCATAAATATAAATAGTATAATTTAAAAAAAAATAAATGAAATAAACACGAAAATTAACATATCTAAATCTATAAATATATACAGGGTGTCCGGCATTGGTTATATCATCTCTTGTGTGCAAGTATCGCGAAAAATTGCAAAATGATAGAAGACTTTTCTACTTAGTTTTACCGGTTCTACTTGCACACAAGAGATGATATGACCGGACACCCTGTGTGTGTGTGTGTGTGTGTGTGTGTGTGTGTGTGTGTGTGTGTGTGTGTGTGTGTGTATATATATATATATTTGATAAAACACCGTTGAAAGTGAAGTAAGTAGAGTTTATGAATCTGACTGCCGTGATAAATTCGAATTTGGAAATGGAACAATTATCAGCAATGTAATCCCATCTAGCAGAGACACTTTCAATGGCCAATGCAATTGGCACATTAATAAACAGCGAAAAGACATCTAAGGAAACCAAAGAGGAGTTATTGTCGATGTGTACGTCAGAAAGTCTTTTGACCAATTCGAAACTATTATTGATGTGGCTATGTGGAACAGGAAAGCTTTTGAGCATGATGCAATGGATGAAAGTGGCTAAATTATACAAAGGGCTGTTAAGGGAAGAAATAAGTCGGAAAGGATAATTGAGTTTATGGATCTTAGGAAGTCCGTAAGCTTTCGATAAAATCCCATCATACACAGCTAAATGTCTGTAGGTAGAGGCTGAAATGAACTCGGAATCCTTCCACCTCTTTAATAAATCTCGCAAAGAAGTGAGCTCCTTTGTTGGATCTTTTTTAACGACAGAATAAGTGTTATTATCATTTAGAAGTCTTCAATTTTTCTGAAGTACACATCTTTGTCCAAAGTTACAGTAATGTTTCCCTTATCCGCACGGATGAGATGTTGTTATGTTGTAGGAAATCTCTAGTAGTAAAAGCGAGATCTTTTAAGTGTGTGTTAACTTCACATTTAGGGATCGAATAATTAGGTAGACTGTTAATGAATGTTAACTGAGCGGTTTCTAATGACCGTTTGTGATTATAGAGAGTTTCATAAGGTTGCTCTCGATGTTTTTATGAATTCTGTAGTCAGTTTTTTCCTATTATTGATAGGTAGACTAAAATTGTCACCCAATTATAAGAGATTCTGTACGTCAGGGGGTACAGGAGTGGAGGACAGGTTGACAAACCATTTATTAATGTGTAACAATGGATTCTGCTTAAACGTGTGTGGATCGATCACGATCTCCAAGTCAAAATTCTGTGCGTTTGTTGGAAAAATTAGTGGTTTCAAATAAAAATGACATCCTCCAGCGAAAGAGTGTGGGTGAGTGGAGTGACTGTAGAAGTAATGGATCGGTTTTGTGTCATTCTTTTTAACTCTATGTTTCGTCAATAGATTATCAAATTTCTTGTTTAGTTTGTCATGTTGATTGGTAAAAAAGGAAAGCAGTGATCCTCGTTGTCTAGTGAAAAAGGAATTGCAGGTAGATAGAGGGATGTAGTGATATAAACGTCGAGAAGATTATAAATCTGAGTGTGTGTAGCTCTAATGTATGAGTATGTGTCGGAGAGCTCAATATGCAGCAATTTCCTGTTAAAAAGAAGTCTACAATGTTTAAAGCCATTGACAGATTTACGACTGAAAAGGTTAGCATTAAACAGGACGTTGGACAAATGAGGCGATATGATGTTACATTTAATACATTTGCGTAAAAATTCCATTCTCAATCTACTCTTAATAATGGCTTTGTTAAACTTAACCCATAATTTAAATAATCGGACAATATTTTGTCCAAAAAAACGAAATTAATGTACTGGAAAAAGGAATGAAAATGCATTTTTTCAGTCTACGTGAAACAAATTGAATATAAGATTATTTTGATCTAATTTTAGTGCAACAATGCACTCATAACCAAATTTTGCTCTCGGTTGCTTTCGTTTTTATCATTTTTATTATGTATATTAATCTATTTCCAAGTATATATTATTATTATTTTTCAATCGTCGCCTGTCCGCTACATACACTCGTGTCTTTTCTTATATGTATATTATTATCTTTCGATCGTTTTTGTCAGCCTTTCCGAAATTGTTTGCGTTCGAATATTGCTATCTCGGTTGACAATAGTTACCTGTGTCACAGCATTGCGACCGCTTCATTTATCTGTTAGTGCCCGCCTAAGTCCCGTTGCGTCCGAGTGTGAATTTTCTCTTTGTGTCGTTGGTTTTAAATTTATGTGTAAGTTATTTTTTATATTATATATCTCCACATTCTCTCACATCGTCTCGTATATGAACTATACGCCGGTCATTTATAAACATTAGTACAAATGCATCATAACATCATGCTCTGTACAATCTGAGATTTTTCAACTTTCGATCGTGTAATCGAGCAGTTGGTCATCCTAACAATTACTGTAACTGTTCTTGAAGATGCATCGTATTTTGATAGACGACCGGCGTTATGAATTTCGATGTTTGCTGCTACATTGACTATGAATTTGCGATTCGTTCACCGTCTAAATAGATTTATTTGTATTTTTTATCTCTTGCGCTGAGGAAGGCTGAAAGATCAACCGAAACGTCCACTTTATGTTACTTTGATTATGTTACATTGATTATCATTAAATTTTATGCGCTCTTAGTATTGCGCTCTGCTCTCATTGCCATTATACCTCATTCTTATATATTTAAAATATTATTAAATATAAAAACTAGTTCATATCCGATATCTGCAGTCAATATGCAACCTCATACCATTACACTGCCGCCACTGTGTTGTGAGACCTGTGACTTACGAATCTCGCGCTAACTCGCAGAGCCACAATGTGCTTTGTTATTATTTATTTACTACTTTATTATTTATTAATTATTTTTGTAAATAATTAGAGTTATAATTATAATAAATCGAGTTAAGCGTTTTCAAATATCAATCTTTGCATATATTCATTAGCAATATCTATCTCCTAATTCATTAAAGTAATATCTCAGCATATCATTTCTTCTCCAAAGTAACATTCTCATTACTCAAGCATTTACCAAATAATAAAAACTTATAAAGTTTACATTTTTTATCCCAAATAGCAAAATGCCAGTACTGTGCCAACATCCGATCATGATTTCGCAGCAGATTTCAAGCTGCTACTTTCTAATTAAGCTCAGTTTTTTGCAGCACATCTTCTTATCATACAATAACGACAAAAATGTGATAAAAATCGAGCATTGCTTGCTGTCTCATTGTAGCAGCAGATATATAACAAATATCGTACAAAGTTTGCCATATCAGATACTGGCAGCAGAAACGCAGCAGAAATCGAGCACAGTGTGCCGTCACGACAAAAACGCAGCAAAAATCGAATAGGCCCTGCTAACATAACTTGTTGGCAAATTAATAACAAAAGTCGAGCAAATTCTGTTTCGTAAATATTTAAATTGTTATTACTAAAAAATTTTGAAAAATGTCTATTATTTCTTCTATCTCTTATTTTAGAAAAATAATTTTTAATTATTTTACTAATGATGAAATTAATATTTTTTTTTACAGCACAAATAAGTTATAAAAAACTTCTTAAAGATATAAGTTATGATTCTTTTGATTCTTATATAACGAAATAATGTATCAAATATAACTGTACTAATAAACTACAATGCCATTTTCTTGGCAAGCAGAATCTTGGTTGCTAAAGTCTTTTTTAATATGAAATAAATTCAATTAATTATATTACCAACTACGTGCCGCTTTGATTTAGCAGACTTTCAATGTAGTGGCTCTGTAATAATTCGATGATCAATATTATTGATATCGATTAAAATCGCTTTTATCGTACTGCTTCTACTGCTTCTAGCATACGGGCGCGCGGCGCGCGGTTCAGGCGGCGATACGTTACCTCCCTCTCACTACAAATAAGAAGGGAGAATGTGCGTCACGGCGGGGCCGACCCAGTCGTGAAAAAACTCGTAATTATTTTGCGAAAAAATATCACCTCAGCCAGGAATCGAACCTGGATCTCCTGCTTATCGGGCAGGCATCTTATCCCTTCGACTACCGAAGCATGTGATATTTATGATATTTATCGCAAATAAATGTGTTTAGAATAACACATGAACAATACAATGATACACATATATACGTATATTACAATATACATATATACATGTATTCTCTCGAACCCCACGACCGGTACTCCAGAGAGATGATGGTCCTATTCTTTCGATGGAATATATACATATATACATACTATAGTATATAGTAAATAAATATAATATATAAATATATATATATATATTTATATATTATATTTATTTACTAAAATTAGGTGTACAAAAAGAGCTTTTCTGAGCTTTAGATTTCATACAACCGAAATAACAATTTAAATTTTATATATCTTTCCGCTCTTTTGCGGTTTTAAAGCGTTGACATTTGACCTTCTAAAATGCCATACGGTTTGGCGTTTGATGCACATAACCTCAAAAATCAGTAGTGTTCACGATGGCAATAACAAAAGAGCATATTCGATTTTCCATCCACTTCGCGTTTCATCTGAAGAAAAATGCTGCTGAAGCCACTGCAATGATTTGTGCTGCATATGGAGAGAACGCTATAAGTCATACTACATGTAAAAGATAGTATCAAAAATTTCGCCAAGGAGATTTCAGTCTTGAAGATGAATCGCGTGCTGGACGCCCTCAAAAGATTGAAACGGACGAATTGCAAGCACTGCTGAATATAAACTCTGCGCAAAAAGGAGCTTGCAGAACAGCTTGGCGTTACGCAGCAAACCATTTCCGTACGTTTATATACGATGGGAAAGATTCAGAAGAAAGGCAGATGGGTTCCGCATAAATTGTCCGAAGACAACAAAAATCATCGGCGTGACACTGCACTCACTTTGCTTTCAAAGTTACGGAAAAAAGATTTTCTGCACTAAATCATTACAGGCGATGAAAAGTGGATTCTTTGATGATAACTCTAAACGTAGAAAATCATAGTCAAGACCCTGGTCAACCTTCGACATCGAC